GAATTTAATATAAATGAATTATTGTAGTTGAACAATTGCTATTATTGATTATTGTTCTGCGTCCTGAATGAGTATAAGATATTCAAATGACTTTTAAGGTGGAACACCATCGCCAGATTCTCCAATTGTACAATGTTTAACGTTGCCTTATGTAAAAAGGGCACTATTTTTCGCTGTTATAACACATAACAGATAATAAAGCAAATAAAACCTAACACCTAAGAATAAATAAATACAAATGATTCGATGACAAAATGACAATGCGTTTTGAAATAATTTAAACTGTTTCTGATATATTTTGTCGAATGGTTTAATCTAGAAATAATCGAGCTTAAATCTAAAATACATTGATTTAATATAAGGTTATATATCTGTCTAAAGTAGCTATATCTCCACGCAATATGCAATGCCCTTATTTAGTAAATTGTCTTAAGTGAATTTATCCTATTACACAAAAGTCAACAAGAAGAATATAGATTTATTAATAATTGTCTTTATTAGCGTTTAAAATATCTATAATTCCAATAACAATATCACATACAATAACTAGACAATAATTATTATTAATTAGTTATAACGATCAACAACCACCTAGATACATTCGATGATATCATGTTTATTATTAGAAAATACTTCGCTTATTATTAATTCGTATGGTATCATTAATTTATATGTGCGCTATGACTTTATGGTAAATATGATATACCAAGCAACCTAAAACAATTTGAAACTAATAATAATGTCTTTTATCCAAAACTTAATGTTAACTTTAAAAGAAAAAGTTTAATTTTCATAATCCAAGATATATTTCAGCAACAATACATAGATTTTGATATACTTTTAAGGTAACACCAAAATAATAACCCCTAAGATATATAACCAAAGAAATATAATCATAAAGAGTATTTTTGCATGAAAATGTAAAGTCGATTTGAAAAAAATGTAATCACAAAAATATATGACATTGTTATATTTTATTGTTATTTTCCACATAGAGATAAATAGGAAAAAAGGAATTTAGCAAGTTACACTACGTACGTATATAAATATAAGAGGAATCAGCATGATCTTAAATCTTATATTTAGTGCCATTATCGCGTTTCTACAGAGACTTAAAAGTAGTCAACAGTTTTAAAACACCGCTATGAAATACATTTCTAGACAACGAATAATCTTTTTATTATCTAAAAGGGTAAAAACTAACGAAACGATGGACTATAAAGTTGTAAAAGGTATATCAAAAACAGTGACTTCCCTCCACGCTGACACCTGCACCTGCGCACAGTCACAACTCTACTAACGAATATTTCAAATAATCACACAAATATAAGCTTAATTCATTAATCAAAATCAAACCAGAAATTCACAATTTTAGTATCTCACGGTTTCAAAACTACGCCAGTAGAATCTCTTCTGTTTTTTATTGCTATGTGAACTTTTTATGATTGTACAAACAAACAAATTTGCTTGTTCTTAGCTACGAGATAAACTTCGTCCCTTCTTTCAAAAACCTAATTAGGTAGCAGTAACGCAATGGAATTTATAATACAATTAGCCGTGTACTACTGACCGACGGGTTATTGTTCCGCGTCATCTAATGAATACAAACGTGCAAACTGTATTTTCAAAAGTGGAGCACTGCGAGAATCCTCGACTGTACATTGTAGGGGGTTTTTCTCAATTTATATAACAAAGTTTAAATTTAATAGTGAAGGAATAAAAAATTTAATTAAACATAACACAACTAAGTTCATGATATTTGTTAGAAATTGGTTAATTTTGTTTTACTCCAATCATTTCTGATATTAAAGATTTAACTACATTTAAGCATACTTAAATTAATAATAAATAAGTAATTAAGTTACTAAATTAACCTAATTATTAACTATTTAAATAATCATATATCTAATAAGAAAAAAAAATTATAATACGCTTTGGACAATCGTATTTAACGTGAAATCTCAAAGAGTGCCACGATATTGTCTGTGTCCCTGTACATTGCGTGTTGACAACAAGCCAGAGACGGATCACTTTCAACTAACGGAGTAATCTATAGCACAGACCGATCTACTCGCGGACGGTATCTAGAAGCGAGAAATTTGAAAATAATATAAAATAAATTATCGTATAGTATCTAATCTGTTAAAGGAAAGTAAACCGTATTGCTGTAATTTCTAAGTCTAAAATCATTTGATAACTCTTAAAAATCGAAGAAAGCAAAATATTTAAACGTATAATCCGTGCACTAAAAATAATACGTATGGTACGTTCGTTTAGTTTGCAAAAAATATCAAATATCTTTTTGTACGAGTAGTTTGTGGAAAACTGCGAATAGCTTATATTGTTTAAGCTATTAAAATGGCTTCATTATAATTTAGTACTTTCTCATGTTATTGCATGCATATTGACAATCTTGAACGAGTCATGGTTCACATTCAAAGCTTATATCAAAAAAAATATTATTTATTATCTGTTGTAAAAAAAAACCTTTAAATGGCATTATAAAAATGAAATTACTTAAACGTGCAAGATCGTTAAAGAAATGTTAAGAAATCATTACGATATAAAGTCACGTGATTCCGCCATATTGGATCCGCCATTACATTTTAATCTGTCAAAATCAAGTGACATTTTGCTAGTGAGTTGTGACAACCAATACACTGTTACATTTAAAGCGAGAACATCGGAAATACAACATTTATATCAATTCTAAGACGTATTTTTATTTAAATCCGATGAAAGGAACTTTTTCTTCTTAAATTCATAGAAAAATACGTCAGAATCGAGACTACGTATTAAAAATTGGAAAACCTTGATCGAAATACTCTTATTTACATAGTTAACGATGATTTTAAATATTTTTAAGTTAATTTAAACCCTAAAATTGTACGGAAGATTCTAGTAATCATATAATTCTTTTTTCGTGTTGTTTATGTTAGTTATTTCGTTTTTATTTATCTTTTACTCGTTAACAATGTAAATAGTGCATTATTTATATCAAGATATAAATATTTGGAAATACTTTAGTAATTACGAAGATCACATCAATAGCCATAGAATAAGTACAGACATCTAGAGGCGTACATCGAACCACATTTAATATTTAACCTAACTTACTAGATTACATTGAGATAATGGTATTGTCTAAATTACACATTTCAGTTTATACATCTAGCGAAGATTAACATTAAAGAGATATATGAAAAACTATAGCGTACATTTGTTTGTCCGATATGTGAGGCAGTACGTCTAGGCCACATAACATTGGTACATGCGTTTGTTGTTGCAAATATTTACAAAGAATAGACATTAATATATCTGTCCTTTTCCCACTTATTTAGGAGTCAATCTTCCGTCATCTTACTCGTCACTTCATGTCATTGAATTGTCTGCATTTGACATTTGTCTATCGAGTTCTATTCCATTTTTAAATTATAGTTCCTGAGGGTCTATCACGAAATGCATGACAGTTGCGAGAATGTTTGCGTAATATCGACATTTGTATATTTGTTGGTGTTCTTTTAATACAAATGTTGATAACGTTACGAATACGTTGCCACGAATATTTGGAATAAACCCTCTGATCTGATATTTTGAAACTTATGAATTTAAATAGGAATCAATCATGCTTCTAGAAAATATTTTTAGTTTTATTATAAATATTTGCAACAACAACAATATAAGCAGTGATACGCGTGTGATATTTCGCTTAAATACATCTTAAATATAATGCTATGGTAGACAATAATTAACTTTCAAATATAGTTGTTATAAATCTTCAACAACAATCAAATAGCTTCATCAAAATACAATATTAAACTAGTTTTTGTTAACGATAACCACAAGTTCTCTATAAAATCTGAATGAAGTCAAATCCCGAATCAAAAAGTCTATAGAAAAAAATATTAGCAAAGCGAATATATATTAAAAGTATATCTTATTTTAATACACAAAGATATTGAGTTAAATACGTTAAATTGACAGCTTTTATATTTAGATGCGTCTTAAAAGACTAAGGGTCATTTTCACCAACCATTCCTTAATTTTACATGTCCTTGAAATTGCAGTTACTGAGGTCCCTAGGGAGAATTTCACACTATTGTTATTACTTAGCGGGACCCTTATCAAGAGATGCCTTTAATCTTAAATAAACTTTAGGCTGGTCGGTGAAAACTGTCATTTACAAGAGAAATTCAGCAAAATAACAGCATTTACAGGACAAGTGGCAGTTGTAGAGGTATACAAGCTTTACTAAATATAATTATATTTGAAATATTTCGACTAATAAATAAAATTTCATTAAAGTACTTCGGAATTCTTATTTGAGACTAATTTATATGCAATAGATTCTCTCGTTTTTACTATATTATATTTTTTGTTGTATATCGTAATCAATATTTATGGATTAATATAAATAAATATTATATTTACTATGGCGTGGAGAATGTGATTATGCGCAAATTTATTTAATTACAAAAACAATCAACAAATTTATATAAGCGTTTTAAAGAGGTATTCAAGGCGTTGCATCTAAATGAAGATTGAGTTTTTTGTGAGCGCAAAAAATATTTCTTGCCAGTTTTGAATTTATTATTTAGCTTATAAAAAGGGCAAGAAATACAAGTTTTAACATTTGAAGAAGTTATTGTACACATTTCAATCTATTATTATCAATTCTAATGACATTTAGGATGGGAATACACAAGCCAGTAACACTGAATACTAGCTGACAAAACAAATAATGGAGCGATTCGTACATGCCAGTAAAGTAATCTCCAAATCGTACCACACACGACGTGTTGATCTCAGTACCAACCTCTCCTCTCCTCGATCTCTGACGCAATTTACTTGCAACTTGCTGTCACAAACTGAAACATCGCGCTAGCTACTTAAATATGTATTCCCGCCCTATTTCACACTATTATTATCAATTCTACTGACATTTATTGTAAGTTCGTTGGATATTCTTTGTCATTGTTTTATAACCTTTTTTATATAACAAATATAACATATCATTTTATTAACAACTTTAACAATCGCTATGGCAAATTATATTTCATTTTTGCCTTATTTATTGCCTGATAAAACTCTTTCCCAAGTCAATATTCAATAACGGTTTCGGTTACGTACGTTTCGAAATTTAAATATAATTAAGGTTATTCTCAAACCGTTCGATAAATTTCGAAACCTACATCACCTATCACATCTTGGACCCCAGATATATTCTCATTGTCATTAGCAATATAACTAAAGCGTTCAAAAATAGATTATTTTCTCTGTTCTAAGTGTTTGGGCAACATAACAATCTTATACACATAACAAAACTCCTTTTTAAAGGATAACAAGCTACAACAATTGTTATGAGGTATTTTGTTATTACTAACAGTTTCAATTTGTGCCATTTTGTTCGTTGTGCTCGAATTGCACGTAATTATAATAATGATAATTTGAGATATTTCAAATCGATTACACAACCTACATTAAGTTACAAATACATTTAGATATAATATCGTCAATATAAGACGAAGACTTTAAAACAAATAGAGCGGTACAGACTGATAGCACGCGAATTCACGGTTTCACTTTATACCCAGTTGAAGCCTAAAGAGTCTAATACGATAGTACTAATGTTAAATGAAGATAGAGTTAACACGACACACGAATAGACAAAAACGTCAAAAACACTCGCACATAGAGTCTAAATACTTGAACACGTCTCGCATCGCCACGAACCAATCACTAACTCGTTCACTAAACTCCGAGGTTCATCTGATAGCGTGTGAATGATTAACGAAATATCTATGGAAGACTGGAGCGAAAAATATAGCTTATTACACAAAAACTATTGTCTTTTATATCGTTTTAAATAATCTATTAGGTTTTTGTATGGATAAAACTCATCAAAAAATATCTACACAGCGATAATTTACGTAAGTTTTAGGCAAGCGTTTGTCGAGATAGTTTGTATGGGATGTAAGAGTTGTGGGGGGTTGTTCAATAGATGAATGCGGGGTGCAGCTGGGGGTGCGGGGGACGCGGCTGCTTGTCCAATGGCGCACAGCAGGCGGGCTCGCAGCACGCCGCGCTGAATGCTGCTGGCACCAGCGCGTACTGCGCCGGCGGACCGTATATAGCCGGCGTCGCTGAAATAAAACACAACATGAGGAACTTGGAAAGTTTGGTAATAAAAGAGATAAGTAAAGCCCCTAATAGTGCCACAAGGGCACAGAGGACAGGCGGCAATTGGAAGTTATTCCGCGTTTCAACTTATCCCCCTCCAATTATCTTAAAAGCGTGAGAGTAGAATCTTCTCTTCAGCGAGTACAGAGGTTGGTTTAGCACTGTTTGATTGTTTGAAGGCTGTATACATACTGTCAAAGGGCAGTGGATAGATGGCGTATGGATGCGGTGGCAGGTCACATGGCGCGCAGGCCGGCAGCGGTGCGAGCGGCGGTGCACACACTAGCTGGTAGCACAGCGGGCCTGGCAGCGCCGCTTGTGCCGCCTCCGCGCTTGCCACTGGCATCTGGCTCATCTGCACGGACATCGTCACCTGTAATAGATAAAAAACTACAGTAAACATAGAAAACATGTGACAATTCGGTGGCAAGTAAATGCTTCCAACTACAGTTGGTCCGCATGTCTATAACGCCACCTGGGGACCAACTTTAGCTTTTCCCTATGATCTAGGTCTGGTCTATGGAGGGCTACTGTGTCATGTTTTTAACTTTTTTGCAATTTTGGTGTTTCTAGGAGGAGCGCAATTTACGTGTTTTGGTGGATAGTAACTAACCTGTTTTCTGACAGCCTGAGCCACGCGCAAACGACCCAACGGAGAGAACATCACACCTCCACTCTGAAATAAAAGAAAGATGTCATTTAATACAACATAAATAGGTTAATTTGATTGAGAAAAATTTTAATCTATTAATGGAGATAAGATGAGGTCGTTAATGTGGGCGCTGAGTGTAAGAAGTTACGGTACAATATGCAAAGTGGACCTCGCATTATTCACGATAGGATGAACGGGGTCAAGTTTTACCTCCCCTCGCTCCCGCCCCGCGCACCAGACCTCAAGTGCTTCAACTTAAGCCATATTTAATATTATTCCACCGCACGTTTCTTATAAAGTATTATAAAATATCTATCGGAAGTATACATGATTGTACAAAATACAATCCCATGAGTTCCACTTTAGGTACACGGAAGACCTGCAGGAGCCGAAGGCGTTAACCGAAACATTCGCAACTGTTGTGTTATTGTCGATTGTTTCTCAGCAAATTCAACTGTTTAGTTACACAAATAAAAATCGTGTAGTGTGCGCACCTTCATCGATACTATTATAATAAAGCGTAAACACAAACTTCTTCTTTGCCTAAGATGTCAGCAATTACACCATATTTTTGAATATTCTTTTTTTAATAAAAATCCCTACACTTACTTCACGCTTTAGGCTATATATTTTCACGCTATTAAACTTAGTTGGTAAATAAATTGGATAAAAATCCTAATGTAGCAAAGAGACCATAAGTTGCTGCCAACATCAAGGAAGCAAGATTGCAATGGATTGTCATTATGTCATGTCATTTTGACGTTTGCAATTGATAAATTGACAAATGTAAACGATCAAATGAAGTTTTTATAATAACCTGTTGATGAAGCCGCATGGGAACAGCTAGTAGCTCATAAGAATGAAGCACGACTAAACAGTTGTGCGATAGTTTAGTCAAAGGTGTGAGTTCTAAGAAGGCGATAAAGGTTAACAGTCACAATAAAAGTTTCTGCTTAAACCGAAATGCTATAAATGTGTATACGTAAAAAAATATTATGTGATTATACAAAGAATGTTCTAATTATTAAAAATATTTCAGTGATTGTATTGAAGAAAATATTCCCTCGAACACCGCGACAAAAGACATCCCCTTCCCTTTCAATCATCGACCGAAACACTTTCAAAGAGAAATTATAACGAACGGAAGGCAGACATTGGTATGATGTGGTTATATTTGATACTATATTTTTTTGATAGATAAAAAAAAATCCAAACAAAAACAACACGAAATCACTACTCATGAATTGTCACTTATTTGTTGTATTACAGTTTTTGTACAATTTTTACGACTGTCCACTCTATCTTTGTTTGAATATCTTTGGTAGGTCTGTATCGATTGTGCCCGCTAATACGTATACTGAGTCATGTCTAAGCGTTGCCAATACATTGGAATAATCTTAATATATTAAAGTCTATTATTTATATGTTTTCTTCACAAACACTGATTGATGAATAGTTGGTATGGATGATATTTATAAACTGTATTCGCCCGCGACTCCGTCCGCGTGGAATTAAAAAAGCAAAAGCAATTAACTAATGTGTTCTTCCAGACTGTGTTCTACATATATACTCTTCTAACAAACAAACATTCATCCATACATATTAACTGTCGCATTTATTATATCAGTAAGATATGATGCTATAGATAGGTACAGCAGCCCATCCCTAAACACCCCTGTCAAGAAATATCTTTCATTCCTTACTTATAAGGGTAAATTTAACATAATCTAAGGATTTAGAATGTGTTGTTTATTGTGGTATATGTTACAAAAATGTTGATTGTCAAATATTTTCATGACATAAAATCAATGTAAGGTTTTCTTAACTAAAAGGGGGAAAAACGAGCATCAGAGCACCTAATTGAATTACATTTCTAACATTACGTAAAATAATCGAAACATGTACATGTCCTGGACTTTATATTTAACTTAAATATAATTTAATAAAGTCATATTTGATTATTAAACATATAATATTACTAGTATTACTCATTAAGATGAACCTTCAGCGTCCCGGAGCCTCCCTTGACCTGTTTCCCGCTCTCAGCAAATAGGCCGCGTCGTCAAGGACCAAATCGTATCTCCATATCTACATAATGCTTATACTCGTAATTACAAATGTATAAAACATTTTAAATGTACAATTAGTACATTTAATCTATTTTCATATGTACAATTTATCTCCGATCCTCTGTCAATTTAGTAATCTTACTATCTTACTTCTTACTAATATTATAAATGCGAAAATTTAGATGGATGGATGGATAGATGGATGGATGGATGTTTGTTAGCGATTGTAGCCTAAACGGCTGAACGGATCTCCATGAAATTTGGCACAGGTTTAGAGCATAGTCGAGAAGAACACATAGGCTACTTTTTATCCCGGGAATAGTTACGGTTCCCGTGGGATTCATTAATTTAGTTTTTTAATGTTTACTCGATCGTTCTGCAACGGTTCAACATATCTTATTGAAATTTGGCACAGATATAAAACAAAGTCTGGAGTACACATGGGATAAGCTTCATCCCCGAAATATGTCCGGTTCCCGAGGGATAAGTAGTTTTTTCTAATTTATATGGTTCGTATGTTTACTAATACCACGCGGACGAAGTTGCGGGCAACAGCTCGTATCACTATAAAATTATTGGTCTATAGTTCAATAAGAACTTAGGATTAAAAAAAGTATATCATAAAATAGAAAATAGAAAAATCCACGTTATTACGTATTCATTCTCTTGCAAAATTACAATAAAAACCTTATCTTAAAAGTCACTTACTATTATTAAAGTTAAATCTTAGAAAAGCAAGAGAAATGTCGTGAAGGCAAAGATTTACCGTCTACGAGTCAGCAAGTAACTCTGCGAGTGACTGCAAAAGAAATCTTACCCCTATTTTACGGTATATAGGAAAGGTAATGCTTTCATTTTAACTACAAATACACTATTTAAAACCGTTTATGTTACTGTTATGAAACAAAAACAATTAAGTAATCTATGCTAAATAATGAAGCGTTTTTTTATGCACGATGTCAATCACAGCATTTTAATAATTCAATTTTAATAGAAAGCCCTACACTTACGACATCTTTTAGGCTGTATAATTTTATTAGAGAGGGACAAAAACTACATGCCTTTAGTAGCAAAGATCAAGATTGTTTCGGTGACAAAAATTCTCAGCCAATAGCAAAGGCCCTTATTGTCAATTGGGTATTTGAATTTTGATATTTGCAATAAAATTTTATTCAATTGAAGCTACAGGAACTAGTCTTACAATATTTTGTTTTATTTACAAAGTTACCATTCAACTAATAACAGTTTCTTTATTGATTTTCCATATAGTACCTTCAAACTTAGTAACCTCAAACGATTAAACATTTCTATGGATAAAATAATTCCTAAGTTATTTCTCACCAACAATTTTATTTACGGAATAAAATCCGGTCATATACGATTGGAAGCCGGAAATCCAGGGACATCAACTGACCGGAAACATTGGTATCCCGAGAGAGCAGGTGAATATGCAACATTACTTTTAATTGCTTTAAAGCAATTTTACACGTATTGTTTGAATATAAATTTTTGTTCACAGGATTTTATGTCTTGTACAGGAAGAAATAAAGACGAAGTTAATATATTTATCTAACTTATATTAAAAATTCGATAAGTTAGATGGATGGATCGATGATTGTTAGAGTTTGTAGCCTAAACTGCTGAACGGATCTCTATGAAATTTGGCATAGATGTAGAAGATAGTCTGGAGGGACTCATAGGCTACTTGCTTTTGTTTTTTATTATTCCCGCGCGAACAAAGCCGCATGCGAAAGCTAGTAATACATAATCATCTTGGAATTAAAAGCTTCTTTTGTTTCAATTTTCTTTAAACAACTATCAGCAACATCTAATAAGTCAACACTAAGTAAAAGCTTAGATTAAAATCTACAGGTCGTTTGACTTTAAGCACCGCTCTAAAGCACCCGTTAGATGAAAAGCTTTATATGAAAGCTTGGAGCTTTTATTTTAGTTGCACCAATAAAATGTAGCTAATCTTCCTGGGCCGGGGCGATATCCCGCAAGTCGTAAAGTAACCGGTTTTAACAGGATTTTACTGGTTCACCCTCAACTATTTAAGTTATTAGTTTTGATATAAATTACTATGTTGTGTACAACATGAACAGATGATATGGTTATTTCAACACAAATGCGTATACCAATAGGCATAAGCAAAGAATCACGTCCGGAGATATTAAAACCTTGAAAATCAGACTACTATTTAATTAATAATGTCAGCCATTATTAAACCGTGAATAAACACCTAGTTTCATAAAAACATTTTAAAAAGAGTTTGAAGTATTCACCATTAGAATTATAGTAATCATCTAGAAAGAAAATTCACTGCATATTAAAAGACATTTTCGCTTTATTCTATTTCTAAATTATTTCATTCAGCGATGTCATGAAACGGAAATAATTCAGAAGTTTAATTTAGAGTAAAACAAAGCGCCCTCTGCCGGCAGACTGCTGATTCAACGGTTTATAACATAAAATTACGACATATGCAAATTTAAAGAAGGGGTTAATATTTTTACATTGTTTAGAACTGGCATATTGCTTTCACTGAAATATTAAGTATCAGTTTATTTTTATTATTCGTCATCGTTATAGTCTATTTCTTTATCTAGTTATTAGTTAAAAAGGCGATCTATAAGCTTGTAAATCACATGTAATAGATAAAGCAGTAGAAGGAAATTGCAAGCTAAACGTGAAACGTTTCTGGTTTATTTAGCTAAATGTATCACAGAGATAAATATCTTGCACAATATCCACAGCTAGCAACATCCGGGACATGATAAACGTATCTCTATAGATACAGATTGCATTTCATTTTGTATGATGCAATCTTAAAATGTTTACAATTTAATTAATAGATTAATAGATCTTCACTATTATAATAAAGCGTAAACACACACTTCTTTGTTGCCTAAGATGTTAGCAATTACACCATTTTTTTGAATAATTCTCTTTTAA